TATTTGGAGGACTTGTCTACAGCAAGGTGCAAGGATAGGCTACACTCTGGTAGAGCTCTCCACAGTAGGGAAGCAAGGGAATGTTAATCATTTGAAAAGCACTCCACAGAAAGGGAAGGGCAAAGGTATGCTATCCATTTGGAAACTTTCTACAGCACAAAGCAGGGGTATCTTCTCTGTATGGAGCTATTTGCAGGAAAGTAGAAGTTGTATGTTATTCTCTGGAGAATCTCTTCATAGGAGGGGTATAGGGGTATGTTATTGTAAAATCCTTCCTTACATTAGAATGTCCCTAGCTAGATTGACTGATGATTGCAGGTAGGCTTTAGCCATTCTGAGCATTTATGTTACCTAGGTTTACTAGGTTTATCTCACGTTCAGGACATTGATTATTTCTGCTTGCTGCTGTTGCGTTGTCTAAAGTAGTTAGCGTGAAAGTAATATATATTGAATAACGAAAATGTATCTGTCTTGGCCAGTCACTGGGGGTTTTAGGTCAGTAGTGTGCATGTGGAGAGAAGAAAATATTTGAACAGCCTTCTAGAAGGATGCTTCCCTCCTGGACTTTTGCTTGGAGAGGATGCCACAGTGAGGAAGTCTTTTTGAGTTTTGCCCCTACAACAAGCAGACACTGAAGGTCCAGAGAATCTAGCTTTCGTGTGCTAAAGCCTAAGCCTATGTTCAGGGAGATGACCATCCAGAGAAAGTATCTGTAAAACAAAAAGAAAGGTGGCTACTCTGAGGGAGAATGTTCATAAAAACTAGAACCTGAAGGTAACCACATGAAAGGGGAATCCTGAGGGATAGTAAAATTGTAAGGGAATTCCTGTGAGACGGCTGGCGAATAAAAATGCGCATGCGCATGGAAATATCCAGAGAAGAATGACCAGACGTGTGCATGCGCAGAGAAATACGCGATCGCGTACACGCACGCGCACGTGCACATGCCCGCGCACCCATGCAAAGATTGGCGCCAGACAGACTATTTAAATGGTGCCTCTGCCTGTGCTGACTGGTCTTCAGCTGCCCCCCGTGTCCTGCTTGTTCCTGTGTGATTCCCTTGTTGCTGACCCGGCTTGTTCCTGAGTTGACTCTTGTTTCCTCTCCTGCTTGATACCCGTTCCAGACCTTGGCTCTGTCCCTGACTTTGGCTTGCTTATGATTCGGTACCTCGCTGTCCACCAGTTGATGACTCCGGCTATTCCTATGACATTGCTCCTGTCTCCCATACCAGCTTCCTGCCTTGCTCTTGTGCGCGTCTGGTGATCTACCATACCAGCTCTGCATATCACTACTGTTCCTGAATTGGTGGTTCATCAGTCTCTTAAGGACTCCAGCTGCAAGTGCTTCAAACAACATCTGCTGGCACTCTTGTCCCCCTGGTCCTTAGACACCCTCTGTTCCACTTCCAGTGGAGTCAGGGCTAGTGACACAAGTGAGGCCGACCTCTCGTCTTTTCAGTCTCCAATCAGCTACGTGACAAGAATAGGAAGGTAACTGCTCAGTATCTCTAGGAGAGTTTAATGGAAGCTGTTGCCGTATGGACAATATATGGAAACCTCATTGCTCTACACTTAGGTATCTGTGACTGCATAATAGGGTCAATGGGCCTATCATTATTGGGAAGCTGCTACATATTAAACTAGAGCCACCAATAGCTGCTTGTAAAGGATCAGTTACTACTGGGAGGCCACTATTGAAGAAATTAGGACCAACAACTATTGATGGGTTGCTACAGACAGTGACTTAATTATCTATCTATCTATCTATCTATCTATCTATCTACTGTATATCTATATATCTACTGTATATCTCTTTCTTTCTCTCTCTGAGAGTCATTGTATGCAATCTGGTTGTTCTCAAAAACCACTAACAATTTTTCTGGATAATTTTGCTATAGTTCTTTGTGCATCTTGTGCCCCTAACCCGCTCCTGGAGAGTTTGTTGTGAGGATAATCTACAGAAAAAAGTGATTTGCACTTAACTGCTTTTTTACCACACAATAAATCAAGAATGGACCCTGAGATGTTTAAAATGCTAGTTTACCAAATTCCTTGGGGACCATTTCACACTCCCCCGGGAATAAATTTACTCTAGAGAGTTGAAAGAATGAGAGCGTTACATTGGCTTATACACTACATAAAGGTTTTATATCTCAACAAAGGCTAATTCATTTTGTGGACTCAACAGTGCCCCTTCATCAATGTGTATTGGGTCATCATCATATGATGAAGGAATAGTGTCTATGTTTGCAAATAGGAAAAAAGTAGACCTGTACAGATAGTGCAGCCACCTGGAGATGGATGGAAATGCTACATAAGAACAAATGTTTTTCCTATTAAACAGTGAGTTCTGATCGATGCACTCTGGCAATCTTGACACTCAATGTCTGAAAATTGCTCTCTAAGGGTCTAATCACACCTTGGCATCCTGGTATGTTGCGTTAACGTGCATTGTGCTATGGCAACCACTCAAATGAATGGGCTACCAACACAGCAAAAGATAAGAAGAAATAGACTTTTACTAACTTTTACAATGCAGTGCACCAAAACAAATGGTATTGTATTACTGTGTTCATGGTGCACTGCAATACATGTGCATTTTCTATGTGCATTGGGGTGCCATTGAATTGAATGGCATCACAACATACTAATGCTAAGTACGTTGACATGCTTTACCATAGAGCGCACGTTACCTCAATACAACAGCGTGAATGAGTCCTTAGGAATAACAAACATCTTAGAATGAATCCCTTTAGAGATTCGCTCTATCTGCTCATGAGATCCCTATTTGCATTTGTGAATGTGCTGGTAATTTTTTGCAATCATTTTTTTTCTTTGTTCTGTTATCATTAGAAGACAGTTATCATTGAATGTTAAAGCAGATATACAGCTGCAGCCTCCTCAATAGTTTCAGCTCCACTGCACATATAATGCACACAGCCTGGTACTCCCTTAGCAGGAGGGTCGTGACTGTGCATTGTAACACTGCTGATTCCTACTGAGCGAATTAGATCATCAAGAATGATATTATAGGAACTGGACCATTAGAATCTCCCAGAATTCTGCAATGCTGAATCTTGTTTTCTTTGTTATGGACCTCATATCTTTAGTTCTATATAAAGCTGATCTCTGTGTGGGGTGAAAAAGAAAATCCTAGATCAAGCCATCCTCACAATTTATTATTCTACATTTTTATTCTTTAAAAACTACCTAAATGCCCCAAATGCCTAACTAAATCTGTGGTCATGTGACAGGCAGTATTCAGAGTCTTCTTTCTTCAGGTCGTTGGAATGTAGGCGGGTACTCCTTCAAGTGGCCATGTTGCTTCTTGGTAACATGGATGTTTCTCACTGGCTGCCTAAAGAGTCAAGGGGAGGCCACATCACCATAAGTAGTGCCATGACAACTTCAGTCTTTGGATTTGAACCGCAGAGGCCAATCACCTGTTTCACGTTCAAAAAGAGGTGCCATGGATGGTTGCATGTGAAAATGTGGGCGTGTGTGCATTGGCATGGGTAAGTTAGCAAGCGTTGGTGTGCACACGTTAGGATGCAGTTGCACACAGCTCTCATGCTGGGCATACTCTTGGGTACTGTAAGGTGTTTAAACATCTTCCCTTATGGCAACCAGTACTGTTTTTTCTTGCCAGCTACCCTGCATGTTAGTTTGCCATTGATCTTGGTGTTCTTGTTGCCAACCCGGATTGCCTGACCCCTCTGGTGTCTCCTGCCCTTGTTACCAACTTTGACATTTCTGTTATTATGTCACCCATCTTAACTTCTTCTTGACATGACTACTCTCTTGCCTGCTGCCTGCCCCAGCCTCAGCTTGAACTCTGATCTTCCATTATCTGTCTCCCCAGCATAGCTATCCTGCTAGTGCGATTCCCTTGGTGAGGAGATACTGAGAGTCACAACCTGGTGTCCCCTTGCAGCAAAGTAGCCCAGTGGGCAATAGGTTCATCAGTCCATCTTTCCTTGCTGGATACATTGGACAAGACCAAGTTATCGTTTAGATTTCTGCACCCTGAATGTGTCTCTGTCATCTGCTAGGGATGCCACCCATAACAGAATGTATACGCTGACATCTGCTACCTGATATTGGAGGAAAGTCCACTCTGCTTTGCTGAAGGCTGATGTAACTCCACTGACCCAGTCTGTATATATACCGTATTTTCCGGCGTATAAGACGACTTTTTAACCCCTGGAAATCTTCTACAAAGTCGGGGGTCGTCTTATACGCCGGGTGTTGTGCTGAAACCTTACCTGTACTTCCGAGCTGACGCTTCTGCGCATGTCTTCGGCAGCAGTAGACGATCGCTGATCACCATTCCTCGCAGAACTGCATGAGACGTCGGATGCAGCCGTTCAGTGCTCGATTGAGCTTGACTGAAACTGTGACATGTGCAGAAGCGTCTTCTTGCCTTCTCTGCATATCACAGTTTCAGTCAAGCTCAATCGAGCACTGAACTGCTGCATCCGACGTCTCATGCAGTTCTGCGAGGAATGGTGATCAGCGATCGTCTACTGCTGCCGAAGACATGCGCAGAAGCGTCAGCTAGGCAGTACCTTGCAGGAAATACGGTAATTAACATTAATTATTATATATTAATAACTGTGGCAGTTCTCAGATCATCTTGGAGACAGGGAGGGCTGGGCAGGCAGGGAGAGCTGACCCACCCATCCAATCCAAGCAGGCTTTGTATGCAGTGTGCACAGAAAATACTGGTACATCGCTTGCCGTGATTGGTTGGTAGAGGGGGGTAGTCTTATACGGCGAGTATAGCCCAAAGCCTATATTTTAACAGGAAAAGTAGGGGGGTCGTCTTATACGCCCAGTCGTCTTATACGCCGGAAAATACGGTATATATATTTTTTTTTATAATATCAGCTATTCATCCTCTAATATAAAATAAAAGCTTGTTTATTATAAATACTTACATAGCGTCATCAATTTACACAGTGCTTTACATATATATTGCACATTTACATTAGTCACCACCAGGGGCGGACTGACAACTTATGGGGCCCCTAGGCAATAGGGGATCATGGGGCCCCTGTGTCCTTGCCCAAACTCGAAAAAGCCTATGAAAAAGGTACCAGGGGCATCTCATGGGGCCCCCTACTGACCCCGGGCCCTCGGGCAGTGCTCGAGTTTCCAAATGGTCAGTCCGCCCCTGGTCTCCACCCTCAAGGAGCTTACAATCTAAGGTCTCTAACTCACATTCATATATACAAATGAGCCAATCAACCTAGCAGCATGTCTTTGGAGTGTGGGAGGAAACCAACACAGGCACTGGGAGAACTTGCCAACTCCAGACAGGTAGTGTCATGGTTGGGATTTGAACTGATGACCTTAGCGCTGCTAGGAAAAAGTGATAACCACCTAACCACTGAGCTGTCTCGAAACTCTGCAATGTCTCATCTATTTTTATACTATGTATTGAGAAATTAGACTTGGTTGTATTTTTAATGTGTTTGGCTGAAAGCAAATCCTAAAAACATCAAGATCCATTTACACAACTTTCACTAATACATTATAAAGTATATCTGAACTCCTTTGAAGATGTATTATCGGCTGTTTTTCCAGGTACGGGCAAATCTAATTTGTTTCAAGTGGTAAAATGCGTGCAGAGCACAACCTCAATAAACACAGCTAACCCTGCACAGGCAGTGAAATTTCAAAAGAAACAAATTGAACTGAAATTCCTTAACCAGTGAAGTTCATATATGCACAAAGAAAAAAACTACAGAGCACGGAGGGAGATGTGCTAAGCATTTTCTCATAAATTCAATAATACCCTGCAAATTGGAGTCTAAAGATATGGACTTCAGAGTATTGGGATTCACAAAAGATTCTGCTTGTCCAAATTAAACAGTGAAGTAACTATGTGGACAAGCCAAGGATTAGCAAGTCTACTAACTAGACATTAAAGGGACCCAGTTGCCAGGGTCCCTTTTTAACAACAATCTTCCCATGAGATTATAATCGCATTTAAAGTATATCTGTAGCCAAAATGTATTCTTTTCAGTTTTGGATTAAGAGGGGGAGAATTAGAACTTCTGCCAGGCTTTACTGCTGTCAGAGGCTCCATTGGGGAAATTCGTTCACTTCCTGTCTTATAGAAAAGTTGCCACCAGGACAGGAAGTATGGGGAAATCTCTCTAACAGCAACATCAACACAAATTTTTTTTTTAAAGCCTAACTCCAGGTTTCATTTCACTTTAACCACCTCCCGCCCGCCATATAGGGAAATGACAGGCGCAAGGTGGTTCTCTCATTCTGGGAGGACGTCATATGACGTCTTCCCACTCTAACCGCGCGTGCGCGGCTTCGGAGCATGCAGCGTGGCGATTGGTGGTGCGTTGTGTCCCTCGGACACAGCGGATCACCGATCAATGGAAAGAGCCGAAGATGTTGGCTCGGTCATGTGATCAGCTGTGTCCAATCACAGCTGATCGCATGTAAATAGGGAAATGCCGGTTATCGGCATTTCTCTCCTCATGAGCTGTCACGCTGACAGCTCGAGAGGAGAGGAGAGCCGGTAATCGGCATTCCTCAGAGGGGACATGTACACTGATCACCAGGGCACTGATGATCAGTGTGCCATGATGATCAGTGTAGCCCCATCAATGCCACCTGCCAGTGCCCATCAGTGCCTCATCAATGCCACATATCAGTGCCTACCAATGCACATCAATGCCACATATCAGTGCCCATCTGAGCTGCCTTTCAATGTTACCTATCAGTGCCAGTCAGTGCCAGTCAGTACCACCTATCAATGCCAGTCGGTGCCACCTATCAGTGCCCATCAGTGCAGCCTATCAGTGCCCATCACTGCAGCCTCATTAGCGCACATCAGTGAAGGAGAAAAATCACTTATTTACAAACATTTATAACAAAAAGAAAAAACAGTGTTTTTTTTTTCAAAATTTTCAGTTGTTTTTGGTTTGTTTAGCAAAAAATAAAAACCCAGAGGTGATTAAATACCACCAAAAGAAACTCTATCTGTCTAAAAAAAATGATAAAAATGTCGTATGGGTACAGTGTTGCATGACCGCGCAATTGTCATTCAAAGTGCGGCAGCGCTGAAAGCTGAAAATCGGCCTGGGCAGGAAGGGGGTATAAGTGCCCTGTAGGAAAGTGGTTAATTAGTTTGTTTGGGCCAAGCTGGCTCTAACAGTCTATTTCCTTTTCTAATACATTTGGCCACTGGAAGTGCTGTATAAACTGTATGTAGCATCAGCTACATACAGCATGCAAGTACCCAAGACACAGCATTGTATTAGAGGAAATAGTTAGTTCTTGGCATTTAACAAACTATTTAAAGTAAAATAAACTTGGAGTCAGTCTTTAAGATGAATTATAACTATAAGCAAAACTTTTTTTCTTTATTTTGGATGTAGCAAGGAAGGGTTGCAACCCTGTTTTATTTTTGCCATCTGTGTCCCTTTGAGGAAATTTACCTTCACTTCCTGTCCCATTGCCAAAACAGTAAGTGGGAGGACATCTCTGAAAATCAAGGTGATCCTTTGGGGTCCCGAGGTCACCATAACTAGTGTCTCCATTGGAAGATTTCCTCTCTATTACTTTTCTGGGGAACCCAAAATTAGCAATTTTCTTTTACTTTCCCTTTCCTTGATAATGGTAAACAGGACAAGTAGAGAGGGTGAATCTCACTAACAGGGACACAGACAGCAATAAAAACCCAACAGGTGATCTAAGCCATCTCCATTCTATCCAAGACTAACAACAAAGTTTTGCCTTTGGTTATACTTCAAGTAGGGGAATGTAAGAAACTCTGTTAGCTTTCAATTGTTGTCTTTTTTTCTTCACTCTTTGTCTGGTAAAAGCTGTCCTCAGAATGGAGAGTAAGGGAAAATCTTTCTAATCGAGCCCCTGATAGCAGTTAAACCTGTCAAGGCTTCTAAGTTTTCCACATTCAATTCAAAACTGAAAAAAACTAAAAAATACTTTTTTGAATTCCATTTACCTGTAAAAGCTACCATTGTGATTCAAAAATCCTTAGATAGTGGCTGGGTGTCGCCATCTTGGCTGAGAAGTCAAGTCAAATGACTCTCTATAGCAGTGGTCTCCAAACTGTGGTCCGCAGGGTGGATGTAGCCCTTTGCTTTTTTTTATCTGGCCTTTGGGACAGTATCTCTTCCACTTATACAAAGCACTACTCCTTCTATTGACATCAAAGTTGAAACACCATTTTTTCCAATGATGCCAACAATGGGACACTATTCCTCCCACTGATACCAATGATGGGGCACTATGTCTCCCACTAATACCAATGATGAAGCACTAATTCTCCCACTGGTGCCAATGATGGGGCACTACTCCTTCTCCTACTGACTGCAGGAGCAATGTAATTAATTTACTCCAAAGGACTACCAAGCCTGAAACTACCACTGATGCTGTGGCATTTTCACTCCCACTGACCACATTCTAACTCCCCAAGGTCTGAAGGACAGTAAACTGGCCCTTTGTTCAGAAAGTTCGGAAACCCCTGCTCTATAACATTCCCTTTCACTCCTCCCCCAGAAGTTAGATAAAAGGTTATATAGGTAAGTGAGGAGAAGGGTGTGAGGAAAAGGGTGTAAGATCTGGGTCAGCACTTCTTAAAACATTTCTGACCATGTTGAAAGGAAATCCTCCTCTGAAGTCTACTGAGATGCCAACATTTCTGGGAGTGTTGACTTCCTTCTCCTTGTCCTCTGCTGCACTTAGTGGTTCCTCTCATTGACCACTCTTACTGTGTCCAGTGGTGATGTGGAAGTTAGAAGGAAGAACTACTGAGCGCTGTGAGTCCTTCTTAACACTAATCTAAATCTAAAACCTAAAAATAAGAATTGGCTTGAGGTCTACTTTAACTTCTTCAAAATCCTTCAGAGCAGGATTTTTTTTTCACTGGAAAGTCTGTTTCATTTTGTTTTCCGTCTTCAGCTTGGAAGTTCTAAATGACATGTAGCTACAGAAATTATGCATGAATGAGAACTTAATTTAGAACACTGACTGAAAAATGTACTGGAATTTCAGCATGTTCATTCATAATGCACCTGTGTTTATACCAGCAGTCTGTTAAAAAACCCAAACTAATGTGACCTCGCACACTCCTACTAATGAACATAAATGAAACTCTCTCTTGTCTGTTGTGTTCATATAAAACATAAGTGAGAGCCTTTGCTACCCTTTGAAGAATTCGAGACCGATCAATCAGGATCTATAACGTGCAACTCCCAGAATGCTGTCTATCGCTGATTCAGCCTTTCCAGGCTGTTAGAAATCATTTATGGGTCAGACCTCCCAAAGCTGATTTTTTTAGTTTCCAGTAGAAGCTAGAAAGATAAAATGAACTGTATCTAATGTCATTTTCTTTGTAGTTTGGGATAGTGTAGTGAGGGGTAAGAATTGCTGTAAGGTTTGTATTGTTAAGGGGTTGGTAAGGCCCAAAACAGTCATTAACATCAAGGAGCTGTGGTGGCGTGTGCTGAAAAAAAAACTGGACATGTTGCATTTCTGTGCAACCCAGTGCATTCCGACGCACTGGAACACACTGCTAGCATAACAGTAACAGGGAGTATAGCTGCCTAGGTAATTAGGTTCCTGAACATTTTTTTAGAGGCCACGGGGGAGATTTACTAAAACTGGTACAGTCAGAATCTGGTGCAGCTGTGCATGGTAGCCAATCAGCTTCTAATTCACCTACTTCAGTACAAATGCATATGTAAAAAAAATTAATGTATTTTAATGAGCCTAGTTTACATCCACTGCAATGCTCTTGAATGCATATAAGCACAAAAAACAAACACATGTCAGTGCACGTAAGCACATTTAAAAGCATTGTAGTAAAAAAAATGTTAAAAATTTAAAAATTCCACTGAAAAACGCACTGAAAACATATTGCAAAAGCATGTACACCCTCTGGCTTCTTTATTAGGTACACCTGTTCAATTGCTTGGTAACACAAATTGCTAATCAGCCAATCACATGGCAGAAACGCAAAGCATTTAGGCATCTAGACATGGTGAAGACGACTTGCTGAAGTTCAAACTGAGCATCAGAATGGGGAAGAAAAGGGAATTTAAGTGACTTTGTAAGCAGCATGGTTATAGTTGCCAGATGGGCTGATCTGAGTATTTCAAAAACTGCTGATCTACTGGAATTTTCACATACAACCATCTCTAGG